ACTCTGTGCTACATGGCTCCTGAGCACCTGAAGAGCATCAACACCCGCTCCACCGAGAAATCTGACGTCTACAGCTTCTCCATCGTCGTCTGGGTCATCCTCAGCGGCCGCGAGCCCTATGAGAGTGAGTCTGCCTTCAGAACTGTTCAGAATTCATGTTTCTTCAGTGGAATGTGTAGTAGGAATGTACAAAAAGGATGTAAAAGTAACAACATTTCTGTTCATGTGACTCATGTGCTATATTCTGTTGTATATAGCTTTTTGTGAGGAACAGACTGAAACAATAAAAAAATATATAAATATGAATTTTCACTATTCCGGTCAGTTTACACAGCACAGTTCCTCTTTCTCAAAGAAAAACAGAAGAGGCAATGATATACACATTTTAATAGGGCTGAACGATGAATCATATTTTAATTGTGCTTCTCTCGATTTATTAAGCTTAAAAATGCTATATTTGCCTGCAGGTTATTTATCCTAAAAATTTGCGGTATCTTGCATTGGTAAACCTGCACAAGCTTAAAGATTTAAAATCCCCCAATCAGAGCTTTTCTCTTAAATCAACCCATTTTTCTGCCCAGTGGTTTCATTAAAGGGATGGTTGACGCAAAAATTAAAATTCTGTTATCATTTACTCACTCTCAGGATACTGTATGTGGGTAACCAAACCGTTGACGGTAGCCATTGACTTCCATACTACTTTCTTCCATTCTGTAGAAGTCAATGGCTACCGGCAACTGTTTGGTTACCCACATTCTTCAAATTTGTGTTCAACAGAAGAAAGAAACGAAGAACTTGAGGATGAGTAAATGATGACAGCATTTTTTTTTTTTTTCTCAGTGAACTATCCCTTTAATCTTCCCAACCTGGCAACCCTGCGCACACGCTCTCTCTGCATTACAGAATAAGTGCTGATGAGCTGAAGACACCAGGAAACATGTCAGTCAGGGTTTAGTGATCTACATTGAGATACTGCTTAAATAAAAGTGTTATACAGACAATCTGATTTCTTTCACACGGTCATTTGTACTGTTTGCTGCGAGTAAACCATGCGAGTGCTTATGTGATAATAATTCTGATGAAATGTACCAAAAATGCAAAATGACATTTTTGAGCAAAATAATCGTGTTCGACTGTTTAACCATTATAATGCGGCACTATATTGTAGTATTAATGTGGTCATATGTGACCCTGGATCACAAAACCAGTCATAAGGGTCAATTTT